TCTGGAATAACGGAACTATTGGCGTGGCTTGGGTTTTCCGCGTGGCTTGGGTTATTTATAGGATTCACACACAAACACGAATAAATCCGTTAGATCTGTACAAGGGATGGAAAAGGGGGGGGGAGATGAAGGAGAGAGAAAAAAGACCCTTTATGATCGCAGGAAAGATCAACACATCACTTTCCTGCTACACTACAGTGCATAGTATAGTATGGCTCACCTGCTGGAATAACCATGGCAAATATAGCATTACCACCAAGAAAGCAACTGTTAACTCGGTTTTCGTCATCCCTGAAAAAAAACAGACTTTTTTGTGCTTTAGTATTTTCAATTTGTGCAGTAAAATTTTTTAAAGATTTTTTTAACATTTTTTTTAGACTTTTTAACTTTTAAGGTCCTAAAAAGTTTCAGAAGTTTTTGCAATAAAAAGTTTTATTCTCTAAAAAACTCTTTAGACAATATCAGCCAAAAGTAGCAAAACTGACCCGATTTGATAGCAAATGGCTACAATGATACAACTGGCTGCAATGATATTTCTGTCAGAATTCATTTTTTCTAAATCTATAATTTTACCTTCTTAAATACAGGAATCCATCTGTTACAATGCTCACTGTTGTTGTTACAATAACTTAATACATAAAAATTAGATCATAATAGTTCCTAAAGGAATTAAGTCTTTGCCACAAACTTTGATTTTCTAAATATTTTAACTTTGGAACTTAATGTCTTAGAAGTTAGACCATAGATATTTTAATAAAAATATACAATTTAGTCGTCTGCGTCAAATGCTGAGAAATTTCGAAACACAGAAATATAATTATTGATCTGATTGTGCAGGCTATTAAAAGGGAATTTAATAATAAAATAAAAACTATTGTCATCGATCTTCTCATCTGTGGGTTATTTTCTTCAGAATTTCTACGTTTTTTTTCAAATTTCAGCATGTCAAACCTAACTGTGTGTTGGATTAAAGGGTATGTTTATTAAGATTACATAAGGTCTTTACAAACCAAATCGACCTGGAAAAAAATGTGAAGCCCTATTACCTATTAATGCTGGAATTCCATATCCAACTACATAGAATTTTATCATTGAGAAGGTCCCCGGTTCAAATACAGTTACCAGTGCAGTATAGAAAAAATATCCTTCAATCACTGAAACATAACAATAACAATAACAATAACAATAACGATAACAAAAACTGGCTTAAAGGAACTGTAAGCATAATGTCAAGTGATTATTCACACTAAGATGGCAATACCTGATTCACAAGCTTTGTCTGCGAAAAGTACATGAATTAGATATGAAAGTTTATAAATTTGAAAACTATTTATTTTTAACTAGGCTTTTAGGGCGCTTCGTGCCCATCTTCTATTTTGATTGTTAACATTTTCTCTTTGTATACATTGTGAAACAAAAACAAAAAAATTCTGCGGATTTACTAAAAAAAATTCGTGTATTTTCAAAACTTCCCGCATAGAACAAACGACCCTGTTTTAGAGTCTGAAAACGACCCGCACGACCCCAAAAACTGGCGCCGGTCCGACTCTGTTTTAGTACTAATAAAAGAGTCGTTTTTAGACCGAAAAGACCCTGAATCCGTCTCTCCTCAAAACGGATGGGTGTCGGTTTACTTCACGGCAGGGGGCCATTATCT